TACATCAATTGTATTAAAAGAATACTATAACCAAAAAAATATAAAAAAAGAATTAACATATAACAAACATATAAATTAAAAGCTCTACCATAATAAAATAATTCAAAAAACGGTCAAAATACTTCAAACCAACACAAAAATCTTTAAGATTGTTTACTTTTTCAATTGTATGTGATTTATATGGTTGTCTACATAAAAGATTGACCTTTTATAGTAATATTTTCATTAAATGCATATTAAACATAATATATATGTTATAAAACTTTTGAGTGTTTAAGTCATTATTAAGAAGTGTTAATTAAAATAGGGGGTTTCAAATGAATATTGCACTAAGATGTTATAAAATATTATAATTATTTTAAATATACCATAAGACATATATATATATATATATAATATATATATATATATATATATATATATATATTTTAGGATCATATCATCTCAATGGTATCCATTCATATGTTGTGTGTGAATTTAGCTAGTTACATGTAGTTTTTTATTTGATACATTTTTTTAACTATTGGCATTGTTAATTGGAAAACCATTTATTTAAACATTTTTTTTTATTTCGTTTATGATTAATTTCAAACATTAATCGTTTTTCCAATGTATCATAATCTATTTTTTTTTAATTTATGTTGTTTAAACTATTATTGTTATCATGTTGTTTTAAGAAAAATAGTTATAACAATTTTTATTTACTTATCATAGAAAAAACAATATTTGTTAATAAAATGAGAATTATAAACATCTATTGATGTTTAATTGTTAAGGAAATTGAGCATTTTGGTTGAAAATACTTCATATACTACAACCGGATGGAATTTTAAGTTATTTATAAATATAGTTATTAATAATGCTAATTATTTTAAATCTTACTTGTGTTCGTTTGTGTCGTACACCAAAGGGAAAAAATAGAAAGGAAAATCGCATTCCAATATTAAAAAAAGGTAAACATTTTAGAATTTCTTCTATATAAGTGGAACAAAGATAAAAAACTTGTGTAGCAAGACTTTTTCAAAACAAAGATAAAGGTACCTAAATAACACAAATATAATTTTTTTACTCTATCATAATATAAACCATAATGTTAAATGTTCATCTATGTTTAACGTGGATATGATGCATACAACAAAAAAACGCCAACAATCAAAGTATCGATCATTCTCATATTTTTCTTCCCGTAAACACCATAAACGCAAAGTAAAATACAAACTAAAATACAATTACAAATATAAAGTACAATTACAACCACCCATAAATGAAAACTAAAATATAATTACAAACATAAAGTTACCATACAACCACCCACATTGCACAATAATCTTCATATAACATAAACAAAAGGATATTAACATATAAAAGAATATTATGAACCAAATCCTAATATTAGACATACACTACAATTAAATATACAACATCTAACCACCATTTTGTTTTTAAATCCATAACACAACAAATCATATTTTGCATTTTCTATATAAAAACACAATGTAATCAACATTCTTCTTACATTAGTGATTAGAGAAGTGTGGTGCAATGTTGCTAAAATTGTAATGTTTCAAGTTGGTGACATTATAAACTAAGAAGATGCAGAAAGAATTTCACTCAAAGTGAGATGTTTAGGAAACCAAGAACTAAAGAGACAAACAAAGATTCATAAATCACATGTAACAACTTATATAACATGTTTGATGTATAAGCAATTAATAATTATTACTAAAATGCATTTGAAAAGTCATTGGAGAATATGAAAAAACATGGGAGTTTCAAAGTGCTTGGAAATTTGCCTCTTTTATAAGTTTTGAGAATATGAAAGGACAAAGAAGTTTCAAATCAATGTGATGCTTAGAAAAATGCTAGCTTTATAAGATACTAGGCGAATCCCCGCGCATTGCGCGAGAATAGAATTATATAGTTAAAATAATAACTTTTACCAAATTATTATTTAATATTTCTACTTTGAAACAAAATGTTAGTAGTAAAGCAAACATATAGTTAACATATTAGTTTTATTAAACATTATAGTTTAATTTTTAAGTCATTGTGGTATACACAATTATTTGATAATTTTATAAACCGTTTACAATTGTGTAAATTATATATCAAATGAATGATAATATAACAGGTAACAAAACGTATGAACAAAAATATGAACTGCAACTTTTAGTAACATAAAAATAGAAAAACATCTATTATAACATTTGTATTAAAAAAGATATATATACAACGAATAATAAAAAATATGAAAAATAAACACTATAACTTTTAATAAGATTAAAAACACTAAAACATCTATTATAACATTTATATTAACTCTTCATATTTAAATCACAAATCTCTTCAAATACATTAATGTTTTTAATGAGTAAAACTTTACAACCTTATAAAACAAAGGAAAATAAAAAGTTATTAGTGATTACTAGTTAATAATCATAAGTTAAAAACTCTTGAGTTGTAACTAATAAATATACATAAATTAGAAAACTCTTGAGTTGTAGTGTGAGTTTCAAATGAATGCGGTACTTGGAAATCTATATTTATAATTATAATAATAATAATAATAATAATAATAATAATAATAATAATAATTGTTATTATTATTATTATTATTATTATTATTATTATTAATATTATTATTATTATTATTATATTCGTCTAAATAATTGGTTTTGATGCATCATTTTAATCCCTTCAATTATTAAACATAAAGATATTTAATTATAAATTTATAACATACATAGGTGCATATACATGTTAAACAAATCACATATAATATATATATTTTCGTAAATGTCATATGTAATTCTTTTCGTAGTAATATGGATAAATTACTTTCATATGAAGAACATATCATGATAAGTCTATCATAATTACATATCAAATGTTCAAAATTATGTTATCTTTTAAATATTGTCTTTTAAATATGTTGTGTAGGATAACCCAACAAAAAAATAATAGAAAATAAACATAATCAAAATAGAAAAACCACAATCAAATAAATATGAGCATTTGGTGGTTGAATATATAAATAAAGATGTTACATAAACATATATTTAAATCAAAAGAAAAAACTAACATTCGTCAACTTTGCTCAAACAAAAAAAAACCTATATTCATTTTATGAATCTTCTTTCTTCATTTAACACCATTCAACCATAGAAACTTGATGATAATTCTTCACTAACCTGTAATCAAAATATTTTTCTTGAAAAAGAAGAATCAGAAAGATATTCCAAGCAAAACATTGATGTTTGGAGAGTCAGATTTAAGATTGAGTAATACACACAAATCACATATAAAGATTAAATGAGAAACTGAATATAAAGAAATAATAGAAAAGCTTCATTTGCTTTGGTTGAAAGAAAAAATCATATTACAATTACCATCGATGCGACATAACTCATTTCTTCAAATCATCATATTTGGATCGTGAATGCTTCAACTATATGAAAACTTTTGAATCACAATATCTTCAAATCCTTCTTACATGTAAGATTTTATATAACACAAAAGACACAAAAGATTGACATTTTTATAGTAAACTTTTCACTAAATGCTAATTAAACATAATATAAGTTATAAAACTTTTGAGTGTTAAATCATAATTAAGAAAACTTTTGAGTTGCATTAGTTAAAAAATGGGGTTTCAAATGAATGTGGTTTGAGGAAGTTAAAACAGGGGGTTTCAAATGCATGAGATTCAAGAAAAAATACTAGCTTTATAAGTATGTATGATATTGTAACCGAGAATTAAATCAGTATTCAACACGATCGTAACAGACAAACACATTATATATACAATTAAATCACATAAACCTTATGGATAATATATTTTTTATTCTTCAAAGTTTTGCCATAAAATTTTCAACACTTTGCCACTTTTGGTCTCTCCTTAACTTTTTCAAAGTTATGCCACAAAAGTTTCAACACTTTGCTATTTTTTGGTCCCTCCTCATCTTTTTATCACATTAGTTTGTGGAGTTGACGGTTTTGGTCCCGCAGCTTCAATATTCTCTATTGCTAGCCATAAAGGTTTCAAGAGTTTGCCACATTTGGTCCCTAACATTTACTAAATGTGATACCTCAAGTTTTTGCCACATTAGTTTGTGGATTTGGATTTTGGTCCCCCGACCTTCGATATTCTACTACACGACCCCATTTTCCTCAAAACATTATATACACACAAAATAGAAAACAACAAACGAGAAAAAGAAAAAAAAACACCAAAAAAAGTAAACATGAAAAAAAATCGAACCGCCGCGAAGCGCGGGTCACTTCTAGTTATACATAAAGTTACATAAAGTTTGTAACAAACAAACACATTAAACACAAATATTGTAAGTGGCATCAATGTCTAAAGTTGTTTTTAATAAGGTTTTAAAACCAAATGGTCCGAGTCATATCATGGCTATCATCATATTATTTTCTTTTTAAATCATCTTCTTTTTACGTAAAATATATGGACTTTTTCAACACTCATTAAAATTTTAAAAACATGCTTAGATTCCATTAATACAAATGATCGTTTCATACGATTTTCACATAAACATATAATACAAATAAGTTTTTTAGAACTGCTATTCCCCACACTCATTTTATAATTTTTTTCATTTCTTGTTAAACCATGTTTGTTTTCTGTTAATTACACTTAAACTTGTATGAAAATTTTGATTTCCCCTTTTTAAGCTACTATATGACACTTAAATGAACTAAAAATTCAAAAAAGAGATAACTTGTGACATTAGGCCCAATATAGCCTATGCAAAGCCTGCCATCCTTATCAAACCAATTTGCCGAACCTACCTTGGGACAAGTCCAAGTTTTTCGGCCTATTGGCCAGAAGCGGGCCGGACGAGTTTTTGTCCACATCAATTGTCATGTAGCCTAGTTAGCAGTTAATTATACTTGGTAACTTGGCTATTGAGTTTATGAAGTTTATTAGGCCCATATATTTTGTTTGTTTACAAGTTTTTAGAAGATCCAGTATCACAAGTATGGCCCAAAATGTTGACCCGGAAAGAGAACACCCCGATCAGATCTCTTCGACACGTGGATGTCTGTAAACGGTGTGATCACGGAAACCGTCATAGAGCACCGCACTACACAATTTCCTAAAATAAAGAGGTTTTCTTTCTTGTCAAATTCCCCTCTTTTTCGTTTTCTCTCTTACCTTATTTTCACTGTTATTCCGAACCGGCTTTCGATTTCCAGGACAAGGTACGTTCATCTCGATCTCGTTTCTCCGTGATTCTTTTGCTTAATTGAAATGTGCTCAAAATGTATCAGTTGTTAATTTCAAAGTTATCGATAATCCATCTATGAATCTGATGGTTTTTGTTGGTTGATTTCGATATAGTTATTTGACGCTGATCTGCTTTTCACCTGTATCATCTCTCGTTGTTTGTCAATGAATTCATTTATTGTTTCTTATTTTTATTGCTTGATTCGGTGGACGATTATCAGGAGAATTCTAGTCAATCTCGTTTAGATTTTCATTGTTTTTTGGTATTGAAATTTGAATAGTGGTTTCTTGCTGGAAAAGTTAAGTTTTTGAAGCTATTATCATCATCTTCTTCTACTATACTTACCACGTATTGGTATGCACGTCCCAGAAAATCATATAATGGAGAATTTGTCTGATTGGAATAAATCCTAATTCTTAAATCAGTAGACTCACAATTCCACACAGTATTTAAATAACATAGTAAGGAATAAATTGCTTGTAATGCATTCCCTAATCCCTAATTCACTAACATGTATTAGATATATCCACTATCAATCTTTGATTCAGATGCTTTATATTAGATTAAGATCCTTACATTCTGCAACACACTTTTGATACCTCATATCTCCATCTAGGTCAAACACAAGCCACCATGGTTAAAGCCTACTCCCAAGAACACACATACAAGCACCCATGGGAGCGAGTGACATCAGCATCATGGCGCAAATTTGCTGACCCAGAAAACAAACGCATCTTATCTCACATCCTAGAAGTCGATACATTAAACCACAACCTTGATTCCAAATCAGGGAAGCTGTACACAACACGAGCCATCACCATTCATGCTCCTGGCCCATGGTTCCTTCGCAAGATTGTTGGGCAAGATATCTGCCATTGTGTTGAATCAACTGTTGTTGATGCTAAAACTCGATCAATGCAGCTTGCTACCAAGAACATTAGTTTGCAGAAATATGTGGAAGTGGAGGAGAAGATTAGGTATGATCCACACCCTGAGAATCCAAATGAGTGGACAATTTGCAGGCAGGAAACAAGCATTAGGATAAAACCGTTGTCCACTCTGGCATCAATGGCGGAGAAGATAGAACAGAAATGTGTTGAGAAGTTTCAGCAGAATAGTGCTAAGGGTAGGGAGGTGATGGAGAGGATGTGTAAGTATCTGGAAGCTGAATCATCTTCCAGGGGTATCTCTGTCTGATTGTTACTGTAGGGTGTGTTTTTTTTTTTTTTTTTGTGAGACATTTTTGAGGTGTCTGTTGTGTTGAAATAGGAGGAAAATATTAGTAGGAAATATAGCAAGTAATAAATGGACTGTGGTCTTCTAATTATGAGGCACAAAGAGAGAGCTTCCAAAGTTAATTTCTAGTTGGTGGCCTGAGTTTTTACTATTTTCAGCAAGGGTAAAATAGTAATTTTATATGGGTGTAAGGGTGGTGGCCTGAGTTTTTAACAAACCTTATAAGACATAAATCTTTAATTTAACCTATATGATATAACATGGAGATTTATAATGTATTCATTCATTTGAGATATCATTAAAAAATACTCTGAAAGATGAAGAGAAGTAGATATTTTTTTTGGATATAATAAGTAAAATCGAAAAATGGAATGCATCAAAACTGTTTAAATGCATCTATGGAGTTATTTTTGACGATTGTTGATCAAATTCTATGTACCAACTATTGTTCTCCAACATTAGCAAGTCTTTAATTGATGTACTCCTGGGAAATGTCTGAAATAATTATTGTACTCCATATTTTATAAAAAATATTTGAGAAAACAATTTAAAATACTCCATATTTATGTATCAATTTTAAATAGTTTTTCGTTAGTTTTTAGGATATGTTTGGAATTACTTAGTTAACGTGTGTAATAGTTTATTGTGGTTTGGTGTATGGCTAATGGCTGTATGCTAATAAGCATTTTATTGATGTTTACTTGCCGACTTATAAGCGGTATACAGTTAATAAACCATTTATTGATGTTAGGACTTAGGATTGAATAAAAAAATATTTACCGATTTAAGTAATCAGTTTTTGATAATCATTTCATTCTAATAACTTATTTCATTCTAACTACTTATTTAAAAACATTTAATATTTATTTAAAAGTGTTAATTTTATATTGAGGCCAATTTATGCTTTCAACTTCAAAAAATCATATTGATCCTAACCTTTTTTTTGGGATTTCTTTTTTAAAACAACTTATACTTTTTTTTTTTTTAATAAAAGTGCTTATTAAATCATAAGCTATCAAAACAAAATTTGAATATCAAAACAAAATTTTAATATAAGTGCTTGAATTAACTTATCCAGTATGAAAATGGAATAAACTGATAAATTATATTTAATGTTTGGTAAATTTTTACTTATAACTGCAAAATTATCAAAAAAGACATTCTTATATATTATCGTTATATTAGTTTTTTAAGAGTAACAATTTAATTTTATCGTTAATAAACTTATAATCATATTTTTAGACAACAATTCTATCAATAGCAATAAAAAAATTTATAAGACTAATAGTGATATGTAGTATAATATATATAAAGCAAAAAAAAAAGGATTTATAATTCCATTAATAACTTCAATACCATTAACAACTACAATACATATGAATTTTTTAAAGTTTGAAATAAGGGTAAAAACGTAAATTGGCTTTCTATAAGTAATAAAGAATTTGAAATAAGTTAGAAGCTATTGATTTATCAAAAACAATTTATTTAAGTTAATAAACAATTTTTATTTTAGTCCATCCAAACATTTGAAAGTGTATTAATGGTATCAAACCTTAATAAACTAATAAGCATTTTAAATAAGCAATCCAAACCAACCATAATAAGTTAATAAACATTTTAAATAAACGATCCAAATAATCCAAATAAGTATACCAATTTACTTTTACCATATATTTTTTGGTTATTTAAATATATAAATAGAATTTTTTTAAGGATTATAGCATAGTTTATCAATTTATTCTATTTTATATAAGCTAATCTATACATTGTTTTTAAATATCGTTTTGCTAACATTTTAATTTATAAACACTTATCAAAAAACAAAACATTTTTCAAATAAGTAAATGTATTTTAGTCCTATCAAAAGATGCCCCTTTGGTCTTCAACGGATGCATCCCCAACGTTTAAAATGTTACCGTTAACATGCAAATCCCATATTGAACAGACCTGAGTCGACAAAACGCAAACACTATTTTCTGATTTTCTCTGACATCCTTCAGATTGACATTCATCGCTCTGTATCAAATTAAGCAGCTGTGAAAATGGTGTTTACTGGTGCTCTCAGATTGGCATTCATCGCTCTCTTAGTTTTTCTCATCTCCTCAACTGTTGTCTTTGCTCGAGAATTCGAGTTGTCAATGGTGCTGGCGCCGACTCCTGCTCCGCTCCGATGGATGCTGGGTCTGCAGCTACAACAACGATTTCCATGGTTTTTGTCTCCGCTGCTTTCATGCTCAGTGGTATGATCTTCGATTAGTGAATGGGGAGAGTGATGATTATGTAATGTTAATCTCAGTTCAATCTTTTCCATTTCTCCTAATTTTTGGTTAGGGTATATATATATATATATATATATATATATATATATATATATATATATATATATATATATATATATATATATATATATTTATTTTGTAGCTTGACATATTAGTTGGGTTGATGCATAGATGAAGCGGTTGATATATATACTCATTCTTAATTCATAAAATATGAAATATCAAGTTTGGCAAATTCTGGAAAATGAATGAAGTAGATATTTGCCAAAGATCTTGAGATTCATAATACAACTCTTTAATCCAACGATAAGCGTATAGGATTTAAGTGGTTCTTTAAACCAAAAATGAATGAGAAAGGTGAAATTGACAAACATAAATCACACTTATTAAGATGTCAAATTAAAGGGTATTCCAAAAAAAAAGTGAAAGATCGTGTAATATACAATAAGAAAAAAAAAACCGCAATTTCATTAGACAGAAAGTTCAACTTCCATAACAAAGTTATGTTTTAAAGTTCATATTTTCGCTTGAAAGCACGAGTAATTATATTTTCAGCTTTAACATTCTCAAGTGCTACATTTGCAACACTACAAATCAAAGCATCATTCATAAAATCATCGCCTATTTTATTACGAAAATCGGTCTTCAAAAACTTCATTGCAGAAAAACACTGTTTCAACGGTTGCAGTTGCGACGAGCAAAACCAAAGTTAGTTTTAATAATCTATAAACCAAAGGAAAAGAGATGTGTTTTTCAGTTTCCACCAACAAACGAGAGAGGTACGTAATTCCTTCAAGTTGAAAATTTTCTCATCATGGAGCAAAAGCTAATAATAGATATCAAGTTGCCCATTAAGATGCACCATTTCTGAATCGTCAAAATCATGTTTGTGTATATATCACATAGCTTCAACAACTTTGTTTTATCAAAACTAGAAAATGAGTCACAAGGACTCAAAGCCGCCATGTTCTCCATCAATTCCGTGCCAACTTCACTAAATCGATCCCCAAATTCTTGAATTTGCATATCCAAAATTATGTTAAAAATCACAACTTCAAAATGATGTTGATCAATCATATTGGTCCTACACTTTCGTGGGACAACATAATATTCCAACATGTCCACAATTCGATTTCCAATACTATGTTTTTCACAAAAGCACATATCTTATTCCAAATTTGTGGAAACCCATCTTTTCTAAAAGCTAGCAATGTTTTCTTTGTCCCTTTTACTAACGAAGCCGTTTCCAAAATATCTTGATTTTTTTTAAAGATGCTTTGACAAGGTATCCGTGAGGCCTAGAATTTCCAACACCAAGTGTAAAACAAACACGAAATCAAGTGTCTTGAAATATGACAAAATACATTTTGTTTGATTACGGTTAGATAAAGTAGATCCCTCTTTCTTGACATATTTAAGGACCGCAACAACTTCTGCAAAAACAAATTCAACACTTACAATTGTTATATAATGTGAACCCCATCTAGTATCTCCAGCTTAAACAAGAGAAATCTCTTGATTCAACCCTCTTCATGTTTCAGTTTCACCAATACCAATTTCGACTTCAACTCTTTATTTTTGCATCTCTCGTATCATCTATTTTCTCTTACAAGACCCACAAACGATAGTAACCACCAAAGTTATTTGTTCAAATAATTCTTCAACATCCTTAAGTTTTTTGCTACCGTCACAACTACTAATTGAAGTTGGTGTGCAAAACAATGTATACAATGCACATAACTGTTTTTCTTTTAATATCAAAAATTTCAAACCGTTGAATGCACCACTCAGATTACTTGCTCCATCATAACTTTGCCCCCTCACCTATATATTTCAAAAAACTAATAAAAAGATATAAGACATAAAAACAAAATTAATATCGTATTAAAGAAATAAATATTCTATGATTTCTCACCCGAGCCATACTCAAGTTGTTGTTGGTAAATACGATATCGATGGCGGCTTTAAGAGTAAAAAAAGATGTATGCAACACGTGAACAACTCTGATAAATCTTTCTTTTACGATCCCAAGTCTATCAGCATATCTCAAAAAGCCATTTGTTCTTTTTTGGAAACATCACTAGACTCATCAACTAATATACCGGACACATCTTTACCAATTTTACCACAAATAGACTTGATTATCTCTTTTGAAAAGCAATTGACAACATCTTTTTGAATCGTCGGAGAAGTCAAATTTTCATTTTTTGGAGCATTTTCTAAAGTAACATTAAAAATCTTCTCATTATCTTCTCTAATCAAAGATAAGATTTCAATAAAAAGTCCTTTATTATTAGACTTTTCCGTCTCATCATGTCCACGAAATGGTAATGTATTTTTCAATAAAAATCTACAACTACGAATTGTAGCACGTAATCGAATTTCATAATTACTTTGCTCAAGTTTCGTTTGCTTATGAAAGACTTCACTAATAGATTGGTCTTTTCTCATAGCAAATCACCTTGTTCCCCTACCATGTCTCCAAACAAGTAGCAACAAAAACAATATGCCTTCTTTTTTTAATGTTATACTCTAACCATGGATAATCAGTAAACCATTCCACAACAAAGCGTCTTGGCTTCTTACCAATTAACATAAATTCAAAATTATGCCCATTTGGTTGACAAGGTCTTTTAATCAAATATGACATCCTTATTTCATCCCTTTGATTAGGATTATAAGATGTAATCTTTGCCCT